CAAAATAAGTGTAAAAAAGTGTTCATATTTGTGTACAAGCTGTTTAGATTGTCAAAAGGCCTGTGTTTTTAGGGTTATTAACGAAGTTCGTGTACTCAGACCAGTAATTTTTGGGGTCACAAGTTTTTGCCATGGATATTTTGTGGGTCAGAAGACAAAAAGTTTGGGAACCACTGCCTTAGATCATGCCATGACCCAAGGGTCTATTCAAATATTAAATATAATCTTCATACTAGCAGTGGCCATTGTTGATGTTTATCGCAGGATGATGATGTCATCGTAGTTAGCTGACACTGACCTTTGCCAATGCATCTAGCACTGCTAAAGAAAATATTTAAAATCTAAATGCAAAATGTGTTCATAAAAAACAATATGGATGGTCCAGAAGTTTGAAGTGCAGCTCAGACACTGACTACAACTGCAAATTTAATGTTTTGCATGGAAGCTTTTGCTGCATTGGAGCGCTAGCGGTTGCTATTGTCTCAGGATGATGACCTCATAACATGAGCCAAGAGGTTGCATTCCGTTCCAAAATACCTAAATGTGAAATTCAACATTTAAGATTTTATCTTTTACATTTAAATTTAAACATTTAGAATTAGAATTTCATGTTTAAATATATATTTTTAACTTAAAATTGAGTAAAAATGAGTTTAATGTAAGAACAGTGAGCTAAATAACAATAAAATGATAAAATGTTTGTGGAAAATGTGTAATATGAAAGTGAGCTAAATATTGAAAAATATAGTAGTGACATTTTTTAACATTTCACTTTACACTTGGTGCCCCACACACCCCACCATTAACACAAAAACTAATTTTGACAAGCAGATTGGCAGTAAACCATTTAAATTCACATGTTTGAGAAAGCTATATAAATTAAAGAAGATTATTGTGTTTCTGAACAGTCTCACAATTATGATGTCTCACAGACTTTCTGACATTGATTTTGAGGGCCTGTTAGGCCTCCAATGGTTTTATAAATTAGCTTGACTACATTGTCTATTAGGACTGCAGCAGGATGTTTAACCAATTCTAATTTCTATACATTTTGCTTTGGATGAGATGGAATTTTATGTTGCTTGCTGCAGGTTGAACTCAAACCCAGCTGCTCCACGCAAACAGAGATGTCTGCCACTGAAAAAGTCAATATCAGAAGCTGTGTCACAGAGAGAAAAGACCTTCTGTCTGAGTGACACCAAATCGGCTGATGAATGGGCTCATGAATAAAAAGAAATTACATTAATCTGAAACGTAGTGAGAGGAAATGGGACAAGGAGACAGACACACAAAAGAGACCAAGACTGGCAGATTAAAAGAACAAAAAATGAGGGAACTAGCGGAGCAATCAAGTTTTCACCAACAAAGGAGTGCACTCACGTTGGCTTTTACTACTTTTATTTTTCTGTCTTATGTTTTTTTTCTTCCTTTATTATGATTCCAGGCTACTATGGCAACGGAGTGAATGCCATCATAGTGTTTGCTGCCTGTTTCCTACCAGACAGTAATCGAGAGGACTACCATGAAATAATGGAGAACCTTTTCCTGTGAGTACTGTGCCACAAATAGACACTTTGAACCACTCATTCATTTTTGTCTAGTATGAGTTACAATGGCCTCAAATATCAATTATTGCTATTTGTCCTTAAAGGTGCAAACAGGATTAAAAAGCTATAACATGCTGATAAGGTAAAATAGCATCCCGGTTATAATATGTATTTAGAACGGCAGCTTACTAACACTTAAAACGAAACATAAAACTGCTTGTTAGACACTCAGAAGCTGTTAGATGGTGTACCGAGTGTGACACAGAATGGTTCTTATCTTTGACAGGCAATGCTAAACAAAAGACTTTAGTATATCCCACATCAGCCACCCACTGGGATGACATCATGTTGGCCTGTACAAATACAAAGCTTGAACTGACTTTCTTGTAATCAGTAGTGGCTACTGCACTCTAAAGAGTTGCTCCCACTAGACTATTTTGGGAAGTTATTTTTTTCCACTGTCAGCCTTTTCATCTTAAACTTTGAATAATTCTCTAGCTGCTGTTTCTTTTTTTTCAGAAAGTTTTGAAAGTACCTGTTTATGGACTGTCAAACAAAACCTACTTCAGACCCTTCATATTTACAGTAACTACAGCTTTAAGCTTGTCTTTGTTTAATATAAGGTTCTAGTCTATAGAATACTGCAAAGCTGCTGTTTTTTTATGGCTCATAGTTGCATTTTTAACTGTTTCAGTTTTGATTTTAAAACTTCACTGTGCTTGTTAAAGTCAATAAAGAAGCTGATGCATTGTGATAATAAGAAACAACACCAATATAGGTTTTAGGTGTTGCCTTAGATACTATTGTTTCTGAATTTTTTTTCTTTCAAAGTGTTGGAATGAAGGACTCTGGCATCCATTTGTTATGCTTAGAAAATGTAAATGCAACTTGTTGTAACATTACACATCCTCCATGGCTCAGCTGGGTTGTGGTGTAGCACAGGGATCAGTCCTTGGGCTGCTTTTATTTTTTTCAAAAATCCTTAAGTCTCACTAGGCTGCGATGGTTTGTGACCAGTTAACAAACAAAATGAGGGAGAATTCAAAATGTTTGCAGCGTTTCTGTTTTCTTGTGTGAGTCGTGGAAGCTTGGAATCTTGTTACTTGACTTTGAGATGTTTTTTTCTCTAAAATAATCACAGATCCACTCCCTGGGCTGCCACCTTATCATGAAGGAGAGGTTTGAGTGTTCCAATCCTAGCATCCTAGGAGCTATGTCGTCAGGGTCTTCATAACCTCAGTAGGGCCACCCAAGGCAAACAGGTCCTAGGTGAGGGATCAGACAAAGTGCAGCCCATGGACCCCTAATGAGTAGTAACACGAATGGATCTGATGTTCCCTTGCCCAGACGTGGGTCACCAAGGCCCCACTCTGGAGCCAGGCCTGAAGGTGGGGCACATTGGCAAGCACCTGGTGGCCCATGGAGCACGGCTGGGCACAGCCCGAAGAGGAGACATGGGTCCCCCTTCCCATGGGCTCACCACCTGTGGGAGGGGCTGGAGGGGTCAGGTGCATTGTGTGTTGGGCAGTGGTGGAAGGAGGTCCTCGGCGGTCTGATCCTCAGCTACAAAATCTGGCTCTAGGGATGTGAAATGTCACCTTTCTGGTGGGAAAGGAGCCTTGGACAGTGTGCAAGTTTGAAAGGTTCTGACTATATGCATTCAGACTCACCTTGATGCACCGCTCTGGCTCTGGAATCAGTCTCCTCAAGAGGGGTTGAACGCTCTTTCACTCTGAAGTTGCCCCTGCTGAGAGGCGCCGAGGAGGAGTGGGCATACTTATTGCCCTACATCTTGGTGCCTGTACGTTGAGGTTCAGCCTGATGAATGATGGTGTAACCTCCCACCGCCCACGTGTGAAGGGATGGGTTCTGACTGTTGTTTGCACTTACACGTCTAATGCTGCATTCACTCTGAACGTGATTTCAGCGTCAAAATTGCGTCCAATGCTTCAAGTTGGACGCTTGTACACTTTTAGGTCAGCTGCGAGTCAAAATTGTTCTTGAAATGCTTGACGTACATCTATGGACTGACTGGTAAATAATAAATGGACTTAACTTATAGAGCACTTTATCAAGTCCCTCTGGACCCCAAAGTGCTTTACACTTACATTCACCCATTCACACTCACATTCACACACTACATTGTTGTCACAGCTGCCCTTGGGTGCACTGACAGAGGAGGGGCTGCCATGCACCGGTGCCACCGGACCCTCTGACCACCATCAGTAGGCAAGGCGGGTGAAGTGTCTTGTCCAAGGACACAAAGACTGAAACGGCTGGACAGGGGATCGAACCGGCAACCTTCTTGTTCCAGGACGACTCCCCTAACCACTCCGCCACAGCCACCCCAGGCTCTTGACTCTAGTGTGTTGAGAGCGGCCCCCCCGCCAGTCTCCCCTCCTCTGTCAGTCTCTGTTTAATGTTGGATGAAATAAAGGAAGTAGCATTGCTTTAATTACTGAGAGCATGAGAATGTTGCGCTCATCAGATAAGTAATTCATAATTAATTCACCAAATAATTCAGAGACATCAGAGAGTTTGGTGAGTTTCACCACCCAGGAGCTGCGAGCTGTCTGATGACGCTCGCTTTCAGAACTGTTTTTGTCATGAGTCCAGTTTGATGAGCTGCTGATCCGCATCGGTGCCAATATCTCCTGCCTGGACACCAAATGCAGGCACTTGATTTCAGCTAAAGAGCTCCTGTTCATCTGTTTCAGGTTAGTGGACATCATTCAGGAAATTGTCCCGTCAGAAAATGTGTCACTCATCACACAGCAGAGTCTCTCTGGTTGACGCGCTGCATTGAGCTGCAAAAGTTCAGATTTTCCAGCTCCAAATCGCTCAAATTGTTCAAATTGTTCAAATTGTGCTGCTCTAATCGTGCTAGATGCGCCACAGCACTTCCCAACGCTGCTTGACGCACATCCACCATAGACTTTGCATGTAAACCTGACGCTACTGACGCTGAAATTGCATTATGAATGCAGCATAACAACAGTTCAGATTACACACCCTTTTTGGAGTCCTTGGAGGGGGTGCTGGAGAGTGATCCTAATGGGGACTCCCTTGTTCTGCTTGGGGGGGACTTAATAACGTGGGCAATGACAATGAGACCTGGAAAGGTGTGGTTAGGAGGAACAGCACCCCCCCCCCTCCTCAAATCTGAATGGTGTTTTGTCATTGGACTTCTGTGCATGGATTGTCCTTAACCCATGTTCAAGCATAAGTGTGTCCATATAAGTTCTCTTGGCACAAGATACCCTAGGCCGCAGTTCGATGATCAACTTTGTTGTTATTTCATCTGATCTGTGGCTGCATGTCTTGGACACTCGGGTGAACAGAGAGGCGGAGCTGTCATCTGACCACTACCTGGTGGTAAGTTGGCTCCGATGGTGGCGGAGGATGCTTCAGAGACCTGGCAGACACAAATGTATAGTGAGGGTCTGCTAGGAATGTCTGGCAGAGTCTCCTGTTTGACTGAGCTTCAACTCACACCTCCAGGAGAAATGCGAACATGTTCCAGGGGAAGTGGGGGGCATTGAGTTTGATTGGGCCATGTTCCATGCCTCCAATGTCGAGACAGCTTACAGGAGCTGTGACTGCGAGGTTGTCAATGCCAGTCGTGGTGGCAACCCTTGAACCCGCTGGTGGACACTGGCAGTGAGGGATGCTGTCAGGCTGAAGAAGGAGGCATATCAGGTATTTTTGGCTTGTGGGACTCCAGAAGCAGCTGATGGGTACTGGCAGATCTAAGAGATTGAATGAAACAACAGACCTAACAGAAACTTGTGCATGCGAGGAGTTCGAAGAGGTGAAAAAAACTTCTGTATAGCTTCGAGGCAATTCTAGTCCACCATCCAGCTTCTCAGGGAGGAAAAGCGGTTCACCACCAACACTGTTTATGGTGGGAATGGTGCATTGCTGACCTCAACCCAGGTTTCTGTGGGTCAGTGGGCAGAATACTTCAAAAACTTCAATCCCACCTGCACATCTTCCAATGAGGAACCATAGCCTGGAGACCCTGGGTCAGACTCTCCAATCTCTGGTGCTGAGTTCACCAAGGTGGTTTAAAAGCTCCTCTGTGGCAAGGCACTGGGGGTGGATGAGATTCACCTGGAGTTCCTTAAGGCTCTGGATGTTTTTGGGTTGTGTTGGTTGATGCAACTCTACAATACTGCATAGACATCAAGGGCAGTTCCCCTGAATTGGCAGACCAGGGTGGTGGTCCACCTGTTTAAGAAGGGAGGCCGCAGAGTGTTTTACAGGGGGAATCACACCTTTGAGTCTTCCTGGTAAGGTCTATTCAGGGGTGCTGGAGAGGAGGGTCCATTGGATAGTAGAATCTTGGATTCAGTAAGAGCAGTGTGGTTTTCATTCTGGTCGTGGAACACTGGACCAGCTCTACACCCTCAGCAGGGTTCTAGAGGGTGCATGGGAGTTCGTCCAACCACTAAATGTGTTTTGTGGAATTGGAGATGGTGTTCGACCATGTCCCTGAAGAGTCCTGTGGGGGCTACTCTGGGAGTATGGGGTACCAAGCCCTTTGATACGAGCTATTAGGTCCCTGTACACCCAGTGTCAGAGCTTGGTCTGCATTGCCGATAGTAAGTCGGACTCGTTTCCTGTGAAATTTGGACTTGGCCAAGGTTCCCCTTTGTGACAGATTCTGTTCATGTATTTTTGGACAGAATTTCTAGGCACAGCCAAGGTGTTGAGGGGATCTGCTTCCACTTTGTTGACATTAGGATTGCATTTCTACTTTTTGCGGATGATGTGGTCCTATTGGCTTCATCAGCTAGGGATCTCCAGCTCTCACTGGAACAGTTCACAGCTGAATGTGAAGCGGAAGCAGCTGAATGTGAAGCGGATGGGATGAGGATCAGTGTCTCCAAATCTGAGACCATGGTCCTGAGCCAGACAAGGGTAGAGTGCCTCCTCCGGGTCAGGGAAAAGGTCTTGCCCCAAGTGGAGGAGTTTAGGTATCTTTGGGTCTTGTTCACAAATGAGGGAAGAATGGAGCAAGAGATTGATAAGCAGATTGGGTCTGGATCTGCAGTGATGTGGGTGCTGTACTGATCAGCCATGGTGAAGCGAGAGCTGAGTCAAAAAGTGATGCTCTCTATTTACCAGTCAGTCTTCGTTCCTACCCTCATTTATGGTCACGAGCTTTGTGTAGTGACTGAAAGAATCAAGTTGCAGATACAAGCTGATGTAATGAGTTTTCTCCACAGCATGTCTGGGGTCTCCCTTTAGGGTAAGAAGCTCTGTCATCCAGGAGGAACTAGGGAGTAGAGCTGCTGCAACTCCACTTTGAGAGGAGCCTGTTGAGGTGGCTCGAGCATCTGGTCAGGATGCCTCCTGGATGCCTCCCTGGTGAGGTGTTCTGGGTATGTCCCACTGGGAGGAGACCCCGAGAAAGAGCCAGGACATGCTGGAAGGACTATGTTTCTCAGATGGCCTGGGAACGCCACCCCCAGAGGAGCTGGCCCAAAAGGTTGGGGAAAAGGAAGTCTGAGTCTCTCTGCTTAGGCTGCTGTCCCCGCGACCCGATCCCAGATAAGCAGAAAAAACTGGATGGATGGAGAATCACAGAGATGTTGCCCTCAAAAATTTCTATCTTTTTTACTTAGCAAATTCTAGATCATTCACGTTTATTTTGACATCCACACACAGAAATCTGCCATTTTTTAAAAAAAAAAAACATACTTTAGTAGATAAAATCATAAACGTGTGGGCGACTGTCATGATGAGTTCAAAACAGATTTACGCAGGTACTGTGTGGACGGAGTTGTGCAGTGACATAATGTGCATGACCAATAATACACTTTTGCAAAACGTACACAAGAGCTGTGATTTTCAAAAATTGGTCATGCAACATGCAGCCGCATGGCTAAGCGGTGGCTTAGTTGCCAATAGAAATCAGCAAGACTGCAGCTGAAAATTTGCCAATTTCCTGGCAATTTTGACCTGCTAACTAGTCTTACAGCTGCAGCTCAGGGATCTACAATCTAAGTTAACCTCATTTTTACGTTAAAGCTCAGATTTTGTCAGATGACCTCATCATTTCCAGTTCTTGTACTTCTAACCTTGGCAGTCAACTTCAAACTTAAGTAAAACATGTTCATTTTGCACACACATGGTTATAAAAATATAGTCTTTTGTCTATGTTATTCATTGTAAAAACATTTTACTTATCTATTGAGACTCCTGGCTGAATCAAAATGCTGCAGTCAGACTTATTACTGGGTTTAAAAGGCACAAAATCATCAATATTGTGCTTGCCATCCCTGCACTCTCTCCCTGTTAGACTTTGTATTGATTTAAAAATCTTACTGCTCACATTCATAGCCTGAAGTGACCTTGCCCCTAAATGCGTCTCAAATGTATCGACCTGGAATATTTCCTCTGAAACATTGAGATCCTCCAACAGAAGCCTTCTAACTGGCTTCAGGTTTAAGATCATAACAAAGAAATATCAGGCTAAACTTATTTATTTAGTTAGTTAGTTAGTTAGTTAGTTAGTTAGTTAGTTAGTTAGTTAGTTAGTTAGTTAGTTAGTTAGTTAGTTAGTTAGTTAGTTAGTTAGTTAGTTAGTTAGTTAGTTAGTTAGTTAGTTAGTTAGTTAGTTAGTTTAGAAAATGTTATATACGCATAATATTTTACTTTTATATTCAGAAGGCATTAGGTGATGAAAGCAGATTGTATGACATGACGCAGATGCTGCTTTGTTAATCACCTACGGTACTTCGGCAAAATTCACTTTGTGATTGCAATTAGGTGATAGAAATAAAGCTTGTTTGCTGAGACCTGCTGTGTTTACAGCTCCACTGGTGTGCTGGCAGAGTTTTCGGCCTGGACGGTGTGGTTGGGATCCCACAGGCTGTTCTGTGACAGATATTGAGTAAGCCTGCATGTCCAAGAGTTTTTGGATAGAAATGAGGAAAAAGTAAAACGAAGTGTCTGCAGTTTTCAATGCCAGATGGCTCAAAAGTTTGATTCCTTGTGAAGAGGAGTAACGGTGGCTTTGTGGAGAATGGAATGCAGTTTGTCAGGAGGAGATGATCTTAATAGCCATGAAACAGAGCAAGTCAGCAGTGTTGGACTGTAAGCTGGAGAATGACATTTGATGAAGCAGAGACTAGAGGAAAAACTGAGACCGAAGTCGGTAAAGTTAGAGGAGTTATTGAGGAAACTAGCTGACGACATTTTCAACTTTACTTTCAAAGGAAACCACAAAGTTCCCCGCTGACTGAAAGGACAGGAGGAGGAGGAGGTTGTGGAAATGAGAAGAGAAATAGATAACGGCTTCTTGTGGTCAAATCAGAGAATGTGATTTCAGAAAAGCAGCAGTACGACGAGCCTCTGAGATTGATGCAAAGAAGGAAAGATGAAGAAATTCAAAATGGCTCATGAAGCAACACTTGTAGCAATTTCTTGTAGCTGACATCAGAGGAGAGACATTTCAACATGCTGCTAAAGTTGAGCATTTCTGATTTATAAAGAGGCTTGTCTGTCTCCTCACATTTTTTGCATTCAGGTTTAAGATAAAGTGTGCTTCTCATTTTCACAAGTTTGTCACATGCAATGAACCTAAATCAGAAAGTGTAAGATTTTCCTCACTGGAGTATTGTTTCAGGTTCATTTGATTTATTCTCATCATATGCTGGATATTACATTTACTGTGGGGATGGACTATTCAACTGGTGGTCTGCAGGCCACATCTAATCCATGGGTGACCTCAGTTTGACCTGACACAGGATTCATTGAAAAACAAACAAAAAAATTACTTCATTTGATATAAAAATTGATTTTAAATCATTAAAAAAAATGAATGAATAATGAATAAAATAAACAAAACTCAAAGGTAAATTATAATAAAATTTATTTTACATAATGCAGTGTTTCCCCCATTATTATCTGGCAACAACCTGCCCCTGACCTGTTGGCTTTAAGCAAATGGCCTCTTGAGCAGTTTAGTTGAATAACCCTGCTATTCCAGCAATCTGTTTTCTTTACGCACATCTTCACAGGGAACTGGTGCATCCAAGTCTCACTGCTGGAGAAGTGAGGAACACCCTGAATATGTTGCTCCTGCATCACAGGAACAATCTCAAGATATTTGAGCTGAAAACACAAATAATTTTTTTCCCCTCTTTGGTCATGGTATTTGTTGCATTTTTTTTACACAGCCCGAATCATACACACCTTGGAATGTCCTCGCTGCAACTCTCCAATCAAAATTAAAAAAAAAGTTGAGCAGAAAGACTGGAACCAGAACAGCACATGTTTTGTTACATGTTGTGTACCTACAGTATGCATTTGTTTATGAACGTTTCAGTCGTATATCATTCTAAAATCAAGGTAACTTTCTAAAAGCTCAGTGTAACTTATAAATACGATGTGTCTGCAGTTATGTGATCAGCACACTCGAGCTGATGGTGGCAGAGGACTACATGATTGTGTATTTGAATGGAGCCACACCCCACAGAAGAATGCCTGGCCTTGGCTGGCTGAAGAAGTGCTATCAGATGATTGACAGAAGGTGGGCCTGGTCATCTTCCATCCACTTCAAGACTTTAATCTTTCAGGACTAAAAGTGAAAAGAGCCCTGTTTTCATGAACATGTCTAACATGTGACACATTATGTTGTGTTCAGGCTCAGGAAGAATTTGAAATCCTTCATTATTCTTCATCCATCGTGGTTCATCAGGACTGTTCTAGCAATTACCAAGCCGTTTATCAGGTAAGCATGTCAGGTGCCACACTCTAAAGTGCTATTTGCTGATAGAAAATGAGGAAATATACAGAAAAGGTCACATTTTCTAACATTTTTAGACAAATTGTTGATTTTTATGCCTTGCATTGACTGTGGCATTGTATTAATGACTCAAACTATATCACAATGTTTATTTCAATTCAGTTTTCAGTGAATTATTTTAAAAAGATTTTGCACTGATATTAGTAGAGAGTCAGACCACTGTGTAATGTCTTCAGCAAGATTCTCAATTAGCTTCAGTTCAGGACTCTGTGGAGGAAAATCAATATTTGAAAACAATGTCTAATGCTCCCTGAATCACTTTTTCTTCATTTCACCTTAATAAGTTCTGACTTTGTCACCTTGGAATTTGCCCACATCGTCAGGGAGGAGAAAATCTTTTAATGGAAAAGATAAACTTTAAACTCAGCAAACTCGTTTGAACTTATTTGTTTTTAAGCAGATACAAGTGAAGCCAGATCTGACCAGCTGATGCAACCTCACATCATAACATGGCTCCTAATGGGTGAAACCGTACATTCTTTGTTCCTCTAACCCTGGTGCACTCATCACTGCCAGATACAGAAACATCTGAGCTCATCAAGACTATATATTCTGTTTTGAGTTCCACAGTTTTTACAGTATGTGCTCAAGCAACTTTTTTTCAAACAGCCTCACAGATGTTTGTTTTTCTTGAGAATAAAAAGTTCAACACTTTAGTGGCAATACCTTAAATCAGGAAAGTGTCAAATGGATTTGACACTTTTCAGTATTTTTATTTTATTTTTAAGTTTGAAATACCCAATAAATTTCGTTCCACTTCAGGATTGTGTCCGACTTGCTGTTGGTTCTTCACAAAAAAAAAAAAAAAATGTTGCAAAAGGTTGAAAAGTTCAAGGGGGCCGAATACTTTCGTAAGGCACTGTAGCTCAGTCAAGTGGTTTTAGCAGATTCAGCATTTTGTTTACACTGAGTTCATATACCAGCATTTCAGATGTGCACACAATTATATCTGAAAACCTACTGGACTAAACCCTTTCAAACTACCTCAGAATATATATTTTTCATGTTTTAATGAGCACATTTAGGTTCTGTTTGCATTTTGAGAATAAAAACACTTTTAGTTTTTAAACAAATACTGCTGTAAGTTATTGAATTTTTATTGTTTTTCACTAAAATGTAGAGTGTAATGTAAGTTATGAATAACTTTTCACAGTTTTGTTCAGGCTGTGTTTTAACGTGGCATCAGGGTAAACTGCAATTTTGAACATGCTAATCTCTTTTTTTGTAAAAGAAAAAGTAAAATATAACAGCTTCATCAGTCACCACAAGCAAACATTTCTGATATTTAGTCAACTAAAGTTATTCTTTACTAGGATTTACTAAACCAAGTTATGTCAATAATTTCCACACAACTGAGATGAGTAAGTGTAAAGCAACATTCACTTATTCTTTTAAAAATATGTGAACTCAACTCTGTTTTTAACTGTTGATTGAGCAGAAATTTTAATTTGACTTTTTTAAATCTGGAAATAATACATATAATTGAAAATTCATACCTTGTGTTAAAAACAAAGTATAACCCATCAACTTAAAGCATTCCTTTTAAATATCAAGGCATGCACACGAAGCACCAGATGATAATGACAAAATGGTCTATTTGGATATTTACTACAATCCAGTTTTATGTGATATCTCATGTTGACGTGTTTGTCGCTGGCCCTTTCACTTTTAGAAATACGTTTCTCTGTCAACAGTGCCAAGTTTAGCAGCAAGATCAAGTATGTGCACAGTCTGGATGAACTGCAGGAAATCATTCCAATGGACTGTGTCCAGATCCCAGAATGCATCATTAAGTGAGTCCCTCTAAGCCCTTAAACATAACACCGCCTCCACTCTTTCCAAACCTGACGTGTCCTAATGACTTCATACTCATCCTTTGTATTTGAACTCCCACCTCTAGACTCGACAAGGAAATGAAGGAAGCAGCAGAAAACTCAAAGTAAGTGTCGACTCTTCTGCGGAGGCAGAGGCCTCGGCTCTATCCTCAGCTGGAGCGCTCGTTTATCTGATGTCTCACTTTTAGATCAGAGGCTTCTTTTGGATGAGGACCAATTTGATTTGGCTCTGGTTCCAATTACAGTGCAGAGACAGAGAGGGGAAAAAATAGCAAAGGATGCTAAATGCATTGCTTTTATCTCATTTATCATCACAGTGAAATAAATGAGCCACTCCTTATTGCACAGAGATCTATTACACCGATAATAAATGTAAAACCAAAGCCGCAGACTTCACACACTAATCACTGACTGGCTAATTGTGCCATGTTTCATAAATTGCACGAGCCTTCAAATTCACCGTGTTGAAGCACATTCCAGCAGTAAATCCTCCTCTTAACAACGTCTCAATTTGTTTCTTTCCTTGAAGAGTGAACAGCTTTCTGCAGGGGACCGAGCTGACGGCGACAAGCAGAACTGAGTGAGTCCACAGTGATCTTACAGTTCACATATAGAAGACAAACAGCCGCGCGTCCTCCGTCTGTCACCGATACATAAACACAGCCGTCCTGAATGCTTTGTGTTTCCATCTTCGCAGACAAGTCCAAGCTGGTGCCAGCAGCTCGTAAACGCCCAACATCCTGAATTGATGGGACACCTCGGCGCTCAAAAGTCCCTGTAATGGATGGGTCAAGCTGGAAGACGGAGCTCGTGTGTGTGTGTGCGTTTGTGTATGTGTGTGTGGATGTGTTTGTTAATCAGACACTAGAGTTTTATTTGGACACATCTCGTCTTAGTCCCACTCAGCTCAGTCTGAATTGCTGCCGTAGCATCTGCTCTGTCGTGAACTCGCGGCCACGAAAAACGAAATAGTCAGGTGTGGTATTTTCCCGAGCACCAACACAGTAGCATCGATGTTCACTTTAGGGTAGAAAATGCAATTACACACCAGAAAGTGCACCGCACAGATCCATTTTAGAAACTACAGCGTGCATGAGAAGCAGCAAAGCAATAACCCCACCCCCCCCTCTTTCCCAGGTACTCGGGCGATTTTCGTGTCAGCCGTTTACGCAGAAAAGGGAGAAGGAATAAAACAACCTTGTGCCATAGTTTATGACCGACTTGCAGCGAAGCAGGGGATCTTCATTCTTGTCTTGAAACAGGAGAATAAACCGACAAATAACTTTAAGGTGTCAATCTGAAACAAAGCAGGGGAGAGTTAAACAGGAAATCTAGCCGTCAGTGACACTATATCTTTCTAGCCTTGTTCGACAGGTGTGTGTGTGTGTGTGTGTGTGTGTGTGTGTGTGTGTGTGTGTGTGTTTTCTGAAACAAACTGGGAATTATTTTTTTAGTTTCTGCCTTAGATAACATATAATGATGGGACCTCAATAAAGCACAATATATTGTGTGTGCGCGTCTACATGCATGTGGGTATTTGTACATCAGCGCATGTCCCCTCATTAACAAAAACAAACTGCTGGTCTTCTTCTATGGTGTATTAAAGATGTGCTAATAAATGAAGCGTTGGTGTCAATGAATTCAATAAAAGTACAGATTAACTGTTGTTTTCAGTCATGTCAGACTTGTTGGTGACAGATACTGACTACGTCGTGAATCCGTTTATTTCATCACAACTTCAGTTTTTCAGATTGATTTTTTAAAATTTTCTTAAACAGAGCAACACATTTTCAAATTAAAATGTAACTGACAAACCCATACAGTCAACGACAAAAATCAATCAACAAAATACAACAAAAACAACAAGATTTTAAAGTCCAGCACAACAAAAACAGGAGGAGGTGGTTCAGGAAAGAAAGAACTACAAGAAAACATAAATTACCACATTTAGGCTAAAGCCTGATCATGTACAAGTCTTTAAGTAAGAAATTAATTCCTAGTTTTAAATTTGTCATATAAGAGAATTTCTGCTTGTATTCAGCTTTTGAACAAATCGTTGATGTGTACTTCATGCTGTCAGCTCTTAATTTAGTTTAATATCTACGTGGTATAACTTTATTTGGTTGGAAACATCCAGAAATGCTGCCAAGAGGCGTCATCATGTGATTGTCAACGCTCACATAAAGGTTCTGACAAACTGTAAACAAATTTAAATGGTGAATGGTGTTTTTCACTTTCATACAGTTGTTTTTTCATTTTATTTTTTAAAGGTATTATAATGATACTATTATTTAAGAGACAAAATCTAAAGGTTACTAAGTTGGGGTGGAAATAACTTTTACAGATAAGTCAGTTTTAATTGTCTTTTTTCTAAATTTAATGATTTGGCAGTGTTTTGTATCCAAATAGCTCTAAGTGCAGATTTGTTTCTATGAACAAGAGAGCTGTGATTCAACATTTCTTTGTATGGTTTTGAATCCCTAAATATCTGAAATAATTTCAGAGAAAAAAAATCAATCAACATCACCATACTCTTCTCTCTGATATCTGCAACATCTGACTTCCTCTCAGTTCTCATCACATGATTCACCCTCAAAAAAGACAAAAGGAAAATAGGAAATGGAAATAAAATAAATAAAAAAACTGAATGTCTCTGTTCATTTTGGACCTGTACTGGGAGCAGAATGAGTGTAAAATTAAATGTAACATCTGCTTAATGTGCAACCTATTGTTTTATTTTTAGACAATTGAGCTGTGGGAAAAAAATGTTTTTTCCAATATCTACTCCACTGTTGAGGCCGCTGGGAAAATGTACCACAATACTAACTGGACAGAAATTGTTTACGCCGAACAGAGAATATTAAATGTGAAAAACCTACAAAAAATATTACCAGCTGTTGCTAAACGACTGTTTACTATTTTGTATACTTTAAACTCCTCATATAATCAGTTTTAGGACAAAAAGCCATTTGTGTTATGAACATCTGACATTAAATAAACATATATACTACTGCAAGAAAGTAAGTCAGAAGGATTATATGGCTCCATTTAGGCATCTTAAATGTAGATTTATTTTTGCCCCACAGTTCATTTTGTGAATGAATAGCTGTTGTAAAACGTGGCTTCTCGTGTCCTATTTATTTAAACCGAATCAGTGAAAGAAAGAGAAGACTGTCCCTCAGGGCAGGAGGAGATAAACAACCCAGATGAGGACAAGACAGGAAGACAGAAACAACTAGATGGAAAAAAAAAGATTTCCTCATTTTGTTTAAATGCCTCATCTGAACCTGTAGCTCTCATCATCGTACTCCAACTCATCCTCGTCCTCCCCCAGCTGTCCATACCGGAACTTCCTGTACACCGTGCCATCCTGGCCCATGTAAACAATGTCCTCATCGTCATCGTCGTCATCGTTGTCAATTTTATGACCTGAGCGACGCTCTGAGATGTCGACCAGCTCAGCCTCGTGGAATCGGCCCTTTGAGGAGCTGGAGCCGCCGCTGTAGGACGCAGAGGAAGCTGAGTTGTAGCCCCTGTATATACTGTCACCCCCCAAGCCTCCGCTGGAGCCCAGCTTCTTGTAGCCGCGAGGGGGGAGGTCCGAGGGGGTCCCTTTGGACCGGGAGTGTCTTATTAGAAAGACAACAGCCACAAGTCCCAACACCAGCAGGATAGACGCGATGATGAAGATGGTCAGGTTTCCTCTCGTCACCTCCTCCTCCTCATTTCTAATTGGCAGGTTAGTGGTGAGGATGCACTGTCCTGGAGAAGGAAAAAAATGCAACATGGTGGTGATAAAATGCGATGTTTACATGATTAGATTTAAAGGGAACACAGAAAATAAAAATAAAAAAATAAAAATGTTGAAGAGGTTTTAATTTTGTTGTTGCAGAAAATAAATTTATTTTTAATCTATTTTCTGCTTTGAATCAACCTGAAACTGACTGACTGTAGGTCATTTGATAAAAACTCAAACATTTGCATTATTTTTAAATTTCAAATCTAAATTATTTGCAACTCTCAAAGTTGTCTTTGAAGGGAAATTTCCAATCAGAAGTTTGCTCGAGAAAACTGAGTTTATAACTAAAAGGCTACAAAGCAGCATTGTGTTTTTGCAAATTTGAAAACTTAAAAAACAGTGCTTTTTGACATTGTTGCCAATCAAATTCAGGCTCTCTGAAGAAGTTGCTGCTTCATTAAGACATAAAATTAGAAAAAAAGATTGTTTTGTGATTCAATTTTGTTTGTTTTAGACCTTTACAAACCAAATAATCAGCCGAAAGCTGTAATTGTGGACGAATAATCACAGATTAATCAAAAATGAAATGTGTAATTAATCACAGCTGTAGCGTGCTTTTCTAGAACAATGTGACTGACAGATAAGTTTAATTTGCTGTTTCCTCCAGCTTTCCACACAGACATTTTTTTTACTTTTTATTTTTAACAAGCGTGCTATTTTTGTTGCCAACCTCGAGTCTCAGTGCAGTTGCAACAATCCTGCTGCAGCGCGTCAATGTTCTCTCCTTCCTCTTCATGGCGGCAACACAGCAGACATCGCCCTCCAGCTTCCAAGATGGCCTGAGCAGGACAGATGGTGCAGTTGGATGGACCGGACCCCCGACACTCCAGACAAGAGCTGTCACAGTCTTCACAAGTGTAGTCTGAACTCTGCTGAAAATCAGAGAGGACTGAAGCAAGGCAGCAGCTTTTTTTTTAGACATTTATTTTTGCACGTATCAATCTTTCGCTTCCCAAACTCTATTTTTTTAAGAGGCTGAATGAAACAGAGAAGCGGTATCTCTGCACCGTCTATTAACATGCATGCTGTACCTGTCAGTCTCAATCAGTTCCCTCGCTGCAGGAGCAGGAGGATTTATTTGGAAAATGAGTCATTGAAATACATTTCCCAGTGCTGTTTTAGTCTGCCTAAGGTGCTGTAATAAGTCAGCCTGAATTACATGACAAGATACCCGGGGCCGGAACGTTAGCAATTATTTTGGTGAGGAGCTGAGTCAACACAGTTTTTAATTTAAAAAAACTAAAATAAAAAATGTTTTCTTTTGTGAAATTAAAACTTTTAAAGGTGTTGTTACCTTAATAAGAGGATACTGGCCTGGATCACACATAGACTCACACCTTCCATGTGACAGCTGGTATCCTGGGTAGCACGAGTCACAGGACTGGGAAACTTTCCCTGCAAAGACATGTTAGCATAAAATAATAAAAGGTGACACTTTATATATTGTTGCAGGATTTGATTCAAAAATATCAGCTACCTCATACAAAGACTTGGTGCACTGACAGTATAAGCCAAAATAAAGATATTTTCCTTGTACTTCCTTTGTACTTCAGAATGGAAAGATATTCCTTAAAGTTCTTGAGCAGAGCTGTCTGAATGACATGGAGCGTTATTCTCCTTTAAAACTGAAAGGCTTTTCTTGATCTGCAACAATGTTGAAGTAGACAGACATAAATGGGAAGTCTGCATGAGGGCAAGTCCTGGAGAACGTAACTGAGCCTCCGATGGCTCAATTCCTTCTCATGTTGCATCATGATGCCTCAAGTTAACGCCAAACCTGTAGAATGTGTCTCACAAGAGGTGGAAAAAATTGTAAATCATCTGACCAGGTTTCCTGATTTCAAGATGCTGCTCAGATGCTCACATCTAGGTCTTTTTGGAAGTGGTCAGGGGTGAGCATGAGCACTGGAAGCACAGCCACACAGCCGAGAACAGCCTGGAGTGATCCACGAGTTCTTACATCTCTCTCTCTCTCTATTTTTTTTTTTTTAGCAATTACTGTAGTGCCTTAATAAATCTTCTATGGGATCTGGACAAAAGAGCAATCTTTTGGTCTACATATAAATCAAAGAGGTTTTGCACTATCAGCTCTTGTTGATTGCTAACCCTGCATATGTAGATTTGACCACATAGCATTTGGGAACGCTACGTCAGGTATAACAACGAAGTGCCACTCATAAAAGTAGCTTATTCCTGCCTATTTGTGTTGATTCCATCAGACTAAAATCAGAAGGTTTAGTCTTTTCATGTCCTTCAGAAAGTTATTGTTACAAAAAACAATCAGCGTCACTTTACCAGTCAGCAGTGTGTTGTTGTGAGGAATTTGCTGGTTCACTGGCGAATAGCCCATGCTCACCAGTCATTATAATTGTCGAGTTGCCTCAAATTTAATAGACAGAAATTTCATTACTCATCATGAGAATTTGTGAGATCACAAGCGAGACTATTAATAATAAACCCTAACCATGTATTTTGAGTTTAATTAGTGTTCAGTCCTAACTATGTGATTTAAATTCATTACCACAACATTCATTAGAAGAAAGAAAAAAACAAATTGTAAGGAAAAAGTTTTGAATTGGAGTCTCCAGTGAAGTAATTAGGATTAAAACTATTTCTCATGGCCTCTCATTTCTTAGGATTCACTTAGCATACAAATAGGGTTTATTAGGATAAACAAAACTTGTAAAAAAACTTCTTAAAATGGTTCCATTGTAGTTGTGGTTTCTAGAGCACAAAGTAAAAATGGTCATGCACAAAATATGTAGCTTTTCTTACAAGCTCAAACAACTCAAGTCTACATGAATAGACCAAAGATTTTTTAAAACTTCTCAGTTAAAAAAATTTGCATTGCATGTCAGTGAGAGGTACAAGTCTAGCAGAAAAACCTTTCATCTCTATCTTCTACTGCTTATTTGTAGTTGGTTTATGGAGGCAACAGACCCAGGAGACATATCCAGACATCGCTCTCCCCAGCAACACCTAGGGGACCCCAAAGCATTCCCAGGCCAAACAAGATCCACAATCCCTCCAGCGAGTTCAGGGTCTACCCCAGGGCCACGTACCAATCGATGGTGTTTAGAAAACCTCCAAAGGTGTTCAGAAGGTATCCAGAATGCCTGAATCACCTCAACAGTCTCATATCAATGGAGCAGCTCTACTTCAATTTCTTCCACAGCCACCCTGGCTGCTTCATCCAGGGTATAATTTTTCAGTCATGATCATAACCTTATGACCACAGGTGAGGGCTGGGACATAGGCAAGACCAGTAAAGTGAAGAATTTGCCTTTTGACTCAAATCTTTCTTTGCAATGACTGACTGAAGAAACACCCTCATTATTGATAAAGATCCATCCTATCATCATTCATAAATGAAACGTTCAGATTGTTGAACTCCTCCTCCTAAGCAAATCCCCACCCCAGACATGAGGCCTTGTTTAATCTTAAAGGGGGGTGTCTTATGCAAAACTGACTTTTTTGTTTAGCTTTAAGTCGTGTTATAATATCACTCCCTCAACAAAAACATACCTAGAGTGTTGCTTTGACTCTTTCATGCATGTTTGAGAAGTCCTTGAATCTCCTGTGGTAGACGTGGAGCTGCCTAAATGCTTGCTGGTACAAAGCACCGCCTATTTACATAACTCCTCCCAAAAATTCAATGTGCAGCTGAGCTCCCGCCCCACAAACCACCCCTCCCCAGAAGCATTGTTTGATAACTGAAGTGGGAGTGTCTGAAATGGTACGGGGTTCTTAAAGAGACAGAGGGCAATTTCAAAGCGTTTAGATAGACTATGATGCAAAGTTAAATCTTTTGTTTTATATATACAGCATTTTCATCACAACTGAAGGTAACAGTTCCTTGATTGTGGTATAGAATTGAACTATGTGCCTGGAAAACACATACCATATTTATTAATGTATAATACGATCCCGAGTGTAATACAGCCCTCATATTTTGAGCTCAAAGAAGAGCAGCATGAGCTTCCAGTTCCGCGTGTCACAGAAAAAACAATTCACTAACAGAGCAGAAGCCGGTTGTTAAATTTTTTTAGAACATGCAACTAATGTCCAATTCTTCTTTTCACTGCTGCTGTTAACAAGAAATAGAAAACAAGTTTTTCCTCCTCGGACTCCGGTAAGTAAACAACCATTGTTTATATGCTTTGCTATAAAATACAACGGGAGGGAGGGAGATATTATTTATCCCCCGCAACACAATATCTGAGTTATATATGAGAAAATATTGGAACTTAGTGAAGTTTATTGCAGTTGTACATTAAAAAATAGTCAGTCAAAATTTACTTTCATGCATCATACGACCCCACTGTATGGATGATTTTTGGGATTAAATGTTTCTTATTATACATGCGTAAATATGGTACCCCCAAGAAAAATCTGCACTTTATTCTAACATCTTGCACTTCCTGGCAAATGAAAAGTAAATGCAAATCATTTGACTGGTATGTTGTTCTTACCTTCTCAACAATGTTGTGCACACATTTAACTACATGTTGCACTGATATCAGCCCAAAAACAGTCATCAAACAGCCTCACCCTACATTTTCTGCATTGTGTCACCGAAACACATTTCCACAGCATACTTTCTACATCACTCTGCCTCCTCTGCACAGTCTCCCCTCTCACATTTCCCGCTGTGAGAGTGCACTGCCAGCTGTGAGGTGCATGTGTAAACAACAACTGTGGAGGAAGTCTGGGCCGAACTGTCCGCACATTCTCAAGGAGATATTCGGTGATATTCATCCTCTCTTTGTGAACACCGGGAGGGCCAGCAGTTCAAAAGGGAGGGGACTCACAAATAGTGTCATGCCTTGCAGCCAGAATAGCATAGAAACTATTCAAGAGTAGATAAAGTCAAATATGTACACAAGGAGGGGAACAAATTTTTCATTGTTTGTTGTTAGATTAATGTTTGGTCATTTAGTTTATCTTTACGTTTACTTTATATATGAGAGCATATTTAGCCACATATTCACAAGGGAAGTCACAAAGAGCTGCAGGACAATCTAACACTGATAAACCGCTTTGGTGTTTGTGTTGTAAATTAGAATGTCTTTGGAGAATGCACTAAATGCACACACAGCAGTGTATAAAACATGTTTAATGGGTCATAAAGCCCAACTTAAAATCTTTAACATGGCCACATTTAAATTCCACGGGGGAAGAAAATTGCACTTTAACTTGTGCTGGGTTCTGATGAAATTAAATTCCTCCTGACGTGTGTACCTGAGCAGGTTTTGCAGCTGGCATGGCAGGGCTCGCAGGTCCTGTGGGTGGAGTCGTGGTGGTATCCCTGAGGACACATGTCGAGGCAGCGGCCCTCCTTCCGCACGTAGACGAGGCCCGGAGAGCAGCTCAGGCAGCCGTCCTCCCCGCCGTCGATGCACTCGCCGCAGCTCGGGTCGCACTTCTCGCACATCCTGGAAGCAGCGTTTCCATAGTGACTAGAAAACAGGTGGTGAGAGTTATGTTAGATCAAATTCAATTAAATGAAATGAGATTAGAGGTTTGTCCATTCTCACAGGAAATTCCCTTCCGCTGCCTCACACGGAGCTATATAAGTTTAGCTCAGCCTCGATATGACAACATGTAACAGAGGAAATGCCATCATTTCCCCTCAGTGATGAGGATGGCAGTGTTTACACGGAGCTCTGAAAAGGACTTATGTAGCATTTATATCCAGTTTGCTTTCCCTTGAGTATTTAACCGCTCATCAATTTAACGGAACATTAATTTATCTCACTCAGTTGCTGCACCGGGCCTCATAAAGGGCTATTTAAACCTCCAGATAATTAAGCCTGCATCTCCAAACCTGTCTAGCTATCCACAGTGACATTAGGTCTCCAGGCTGATCATTTGTTAATGACAACGCTTCACCATCGCTTTAACTGTAAAAGATGAAGGGGCGCAGCTGCACAGAGAGCAGGTTAAACTACCCGTGCAGGCAGGTCTCCACGCACTCTTTGGCCTCGCGGAAAAGGTGGGATTTGCAGGTGAGACACTGGAGGCTGCGCTTCCCAACACAGGTCTGACAGGACGCGTGGCAGGGTTCACATTTCTGCCCCGACTCCTCCCGATAGTAGCCTGTTGGGCATTCATCCACACAGGTACCATCTGTTCCAACACACACACACACACACAAAAACTCACTGCTTTAGTCAATGTTTTGCAGGCATGTGAGAAGCAATGGGACAGACATCAGCAGAAGCAAACTTGACCCACTGAGCAGGAGATGTCCCTGGTTGCAGCTCAGGCAGTGGGCTTTGCCCGGCCCTGAACACCTGTGGCAGAATTTGTGGCAAGGACGGCAGTCTCCGTCCTGGGCCGCGTACTGCCGAGGTGAGCACTTGAAGGCTGACGGAAGGCAGTAATTGTGGCCGTCCAGCCTCTGACCCTCTCTGCAGCTGGTGCAGGAGCCCAAGTGGGGTCCAAAGCATGTGAGACACGATGCATCACAGTCTGGAAACAAGCAAAATGAAATAAATAAATAAATAAATAGTATCACAACCACATATTTCTAAGAAAAAGCTTAGCTTTCCTTAAAGAAATTATAATATTTATGCCAGTAATTTTAGATTAAGATCATCAATATTTTCAAACTCTCCAAATGGTCATGAGATATTCTGCTCTCAGACGAACAGGGTGGACTTCCTGCTGAACTTTTAAGCAAATCTTAAGCATGTGTACGGGTTATAATTAGCTACTACCACACCACATTCTAGGAGGATATGTGTAAAGTTGACTGAATTACTTTGTGTTTTCCCATATTTGGTCAGCTGTTTCATCGCTCTTGAACTGTGTCAACTACAAAATGTCAATTTTAAAAAGGTGCATCTAATAATTATTTCTCAAATGTTAAAATTAACAACCACCAAGACAAGAGATTATTTTTTTGTGAACAGACAGTGCTGATGCTAAAACATTAATAGCAAATTACTCAACAAAGCTCTTGCACCACCACTCAGAATAAATACTGGGGATCAGTCTCCTTGTACATTAGATTTTAGACCACAATCTGTAGATTTGACAGAGTAATAAGCATTTTCTTATTTTTTTAAGGTCAGTTATCTGTGGCAGCCATCTTGAACCAAACTGACTTCAAAAGTTAATCAGTTGTAAATGTTCCTCTGGTTACTTTCTGCAAATTTCAAAAAAATGTGTCCAGAGGTTCATAAGATATTTTTCGTAACAGACTGACAAAGAGATAACGGTCCTCTTTCGATGATTAATATAACCATTGCTATAAAATGTTAGTTTAAACTGTGCTTTACCACATTGTTTCCACATGTTAGGATTTAAACCAGAAATGTCTTCTGTAAGAAAATCTCACCTCACTTTTGCAGCAAAGCAATGAAAACTAGAGAAGTTGCATTTCCTACGAAAATGCAAGTGTGAATGCCATTTGGCCAAAAAGTAAGCTATAATAGCAGAAGAATAGCATAAAGTAGCAGAACTATAGCTGAAATAGCAGAAGAATAGCAGAAAGTAGCAGAACTATAGATGAAATAGTAGAAGAATAGCATAAAGTAGCAGAACCATAGCTGAAATAGTAGAAGAATAGCATAAAGTAGCAGAACTATAACTGAAATAGCAGAAGAATAGCAGAAAGTAGCAGAACTATAGCTGAAGTAGCAGAAGAATAGCATAAAGTAGCAAAACTATAGCTGAAATAGCAGAAGAATAGCAGAAATTAGCAGAACTATAGCTGAAATTGCAGAAGAATAACAGAAAGTAGCAGAACTATAGCTGAAATAGCATAAGAATAGCATAAAGTAGCAGAACTATAGCTGAAATAGCAAAATAGCAGAAA